CCTGCCTGCCAGCCACCTGTACCATGCCGGGACCTCTCTGCACTGACCTCCCCCGTGGGAGGCTGCTCTCCTAGGGCCGTCTGCCTGCAACCATGCAGATGCAGGTCTCTCAGCAAACCTGTCCCTTCCTGAGCAGCTCATCCTGCCCGCTTGCGCCTATGCAAGTGCCTTTTCCTCTCCTGTCTCTTTCTAATAAACTTCCTCTTTAAATATAACTGCGACTCTGTCTTGTGGAGAATCTCGCCGTGTGCCTCTGAAAGGGGAGCTCTGGTGAAACCTTTCCCAGAGTGAACCCAGGGACCCGAACTCCAAAAGATGACATCAGGGTCCAAGGCTTTTCTTTTCTTTAGGGTACACTCATAAGGAAGAAACTTAAAACAGCATCCTAGATCAGCAGCTATTTGAAGAATATAGTTGTCTATGTGCAGAGCCTGTTCTGTTTACAAAGGAAGCACTAGACCTTCCCTCCTCGTGACTTACCATGTCATGCTGACTAAACACACATCACTACGGAGGACGTGACCAGCAGTCTAATTCCTTTGACAGTGAAGCTGAGGTCAGGGAGGAAAGAGTAATGTTTCCCCCAAGATGGCCATAGCTCCCCAACTTCAGCTGAGGAAGGCCGCAGGATTTTTGACTCAACAGGACCTGGCAGGAACCCAGAAAAGGAGCCTCCTTTACCACTATCCCAGCACCCCACCGTCCTTTTCCAGACAACGCAGTCAGTTTGGTATGAAGTTAAGGGTGGGAGATGTTGTGTAAAAAATTTAAAAATTTTAGGGCCCTTCCTGGTGGTGCAGCGGGTTGAAACGCAGCACTAAGAAGCTAAAGCCACTTCAGCATGAGTTTGATCCTGGCCCCGGAGGTGACCCACATGGTGCGGCAGACCTCTCCTGACCCGCCTGCTGCTCCCCTCAGCAGTGTACTTCGTCCATCTGCCTGCTCCCCAGTCTGTCTCTCATGAAGCCTCTCACCGCCCCTACACCTCTGGCCTGTACCCCAGTTCTGTATGCACAAATAAATAAATCTTTAAAAAAAATTTTTTTTTTTAATTTTAAAACCACTTATCACACAATGGAAAATTTCCTTTGCCGTCACCCTCCAAACTGCTAACACTTGTGCACAATAGAGGGGAAACAGCCATAAAGAGGACTTACCATGCGCCCTTTTGAAGTGCGGTAACTGAGGGACAAGTGAATAGAAAAATAATAGCTGAGGAGATTCAAATTTATCTCAGCTTAGTGAATTTCCAGATCAAAATGTGCTTGGTTAACCAGTTGAGTTTTTACTTAGTCCTGTTCTGTTTGTTTCTAAATTTTCCTCTCTTCTCACAGGTGCCAGCAGATTCTGCTTGTGATCACTTGCTCCCATCACACTTCACCCCTAAGGAGAGACCACTTGGTCGTCGGAATCCCACTGCCAGTTCCTGGGGCTGCATTCAGGGAGGGGTAATGCCTGCCGTCAGGGGTGGGCAGGCAGGGTGGCGGCTGGCGACCCTCCCAAAGACAGAGTCCAAGGATGTGAGTTCTGGATACAGGGCTGGGCCTGCTCTGTCTGGCCCTGCACGGACACTGTTTCCTCCCTCCACTTGCACTCTGCGTCTGTCTTCTCCCACCTGCCCCACGAGCACACACACCAGGCAAAGACTCCAAAGTAGCAGACAAGTCACATTTGATCTAGAATTTTCTGGTGGAAGTTGGCAAATACTGCACCCCATCCCCTGTCTGCCCCAGCCAGGATCCCACCATCCAGCCCTGGCACCGACTACAGGTGCTCAAGGGCAAGTCCCAGAGCCAGGATGCAGGTCAGGCAGGGCAGTCACTTGTAGATTTAGTTCCTGGAGGCGTTCAGAAGCATGTCAGCTGGGGAGCACTGTGAGGAGACAGGGGAGAGCAGTGCTGGGGGTTTCCACTGCTGCTGATTCTGAGCGCACCAACTCTGCAAACAGCGTCCGGAGACTCACAGGTAGCCCTGCGGCTCAGGTCTCACTGCTTCATTGCACATAATGATAATTAAAGTCTTTGAAGGTGAGAAAAACTCAATATCACTTCAGAGCTAAGATCTTCCAGGGATTTCTTTTGAGAAGGCCAGACAATTAAACTGATTTAAGTTTCACTTTCGTGACATCTTAGAGTGACAGAAAGAATAAATCCTGGCCAATACCGTTTGAATTAAGTGTGATTCAATAATTAGCTAGGTTGACACACTATGAAAATGCCAGTAGGAAAGCTGTGTCATCCATAGTCGCCAAGTCACGGCAACAAACTGAATCAAGAGTCCAGTAGATGAAGACACTGGAATACAGACTCGACGGAACACAACTCGGGTACTGAAAACGACCACATGGTGCCGTTAAAGGCAAAATGGATGCATCTCGGTAAGGTGATGATGCTAAGTCAGTCAGAGTGAAAGAGAGCTACCAGATGGCTTCATTCATTTATGGAATATAAATATTCAAAGAAAACAAACTGGCAAAATGCCAAGAGTAATTCTCAGACTCTAAAAAATAAGCTGGTGACCGGAGGGGTTGGACGGAGGGAGGAGGGTGGGACGGGAGGGAAGGTCACAGGGTGTGGCCCTGGACACTGGGTGGAGGGTGAGTGAGGCATGCGCCCCCAAGGTGTGAAGGTGTAGTTAGACAGCTGTGTAAATGTGGAAAGTCAAAACATGACAAGAAAGGCAACAATAATTAGCACGGTCTAATTATTCTTGGGGCTGTGGCCTCAGTGATGTGATGAGGTTCTCTGAAGACGAGAAGCTTCAGGATAACAAGGGGGTTGAGGGTCAGAAGTGCTGGGCTCACAGATGCCAGAGCTGAGGAGAGAGGCCTTGGGGTACCCCTGTTCCCATTCTCACATGGGGAGCCCCCGCAAGGCAAGCGATCAGGACGAGCATATCAGGCTCTTTGGCCACCTCCCTTTGTGAAATCAGGACCCCGACACATAAGATCTACGTTACAGGAAGGCAAAGGTGTAAGTCAGGGAGGCTGCTGTGAGTTAAAGCAGCAGGTGTGTGCCCAGACCTACCTCCGCAGCAGAGTAAGAAGACAGAGAAGGGGAGAACAGCCCAGAAGGCCCAGGACTTATCAGCTCATTCAGAGGCCTTGCAGGAATTTCCTGTTATGTGATTTGGGTTTTGCAAGGGCCACAACTACGCTGACGCAGTCACCCTTCCCTTCCTCCTAGGAGAAAAGCGTTCTCTGGAGTTCTCTTGAGTCACTGGAGGCTGTGCCTGTAGCTCTCCGAAGACTGGGTCCAGCTCCAGGAGTGCCCCCAGGGAGTGAGTGTTAGAGTCTACAGGAGAACTGAGAGTGGCCGGGGGCAGAAAAATCCCAGCTCCAGGCGGTTTTGCTGGGAAGAGTCAGCAACACGGCACTCTAGGGACCCAAGGCCCTGGGCCTAGATTTTAACAAAAACCTGCAGGTGCTTCTGCTTTTCCTATCCTTTCTGTCAACTGGAAAAGATAAATTGCACTGGAAAGAGTGTGTGCCAATGTCAAAATTAAAAGTACTGCGGCCCTCCAGAGGCAAACCCTATGGCCCTCCCCCTCCTTCACCCCTCCAGCCCAGAAGCAACTGCACTGCAGGAGGATTTTGAGGTAATTTCCTTGTTTTTTCTCATTTTCACCACTGCTGTCTGCATCCCTAAAAATCGTGGTTTCATTTTGCCTGGGCATGTAACTCCCATTCACTCATTTTTGATGCTGTATGTACTCAACTGGATAAAGATTTTTTTCTTTATCCATTCTGCTGTCATTGGACTCTTTGGCTGTTTTCAAGTGTGGGCTTCTGCAAACAATACTGCAGTGAATATTCTTGAGCATTCTCCAGGTTGTCAGGTGCAGAAGTGTCGGAAGGATTCCACAGGACAATAAAACACCAACTCTTGCAGAATGTGCTTCTTCTCCTTAACAGGGGATGGCCATCTGGGCCCAAAGGCTCGCTGCCAGTTCCTCCCCCACAGACGCTGCAGGACATTCAGCGTATATGTGTACACGGAGGAAGGGGATGGGACTCAGTCACCAAGAAAGCCTAGTTCATGGCCAGCACCCAAGTTAAAGGCTACCTTCCTCTTCTATAAGACAAAGCCCAAGATTTAAAAATCCTTAGCTTCACCAGAACCAACAACCAGAACAGCAGGGCTTCCCACAAGAGAACTGTCAGAAATACCCCAGAAAGAATAAGGGCGCAGACCCCACCCACAACACACACACACACACACACACACACACACTATTTACCATAAGAAATAAGTACAAATGTGTCCTTATCATATCAAGTCCAGAAAGACTGCACAACAATAAATTCCAGTCAGCCATGGGAGGCAGGAAAGAGTGGGGTGAAGGGCAGGAGGGTCTCGGAGGTGCCCCTCCAGCTGCCACATACCTGTACACTGGCTGCATCTCTCTCGCGATGCCAATGACAGCGCCCGGCAGGAAGTTGTCAAACTCCTCAAACAATTCTCGGATGTTGGTCTTGTACTTTAGGTCTAGGTCCAATTGAATTATTCGCAGGATCTCTAGAGGAAAGAAAAACACAACAATAAGGCCCAGACACACATCCTGGGAGGCTCAGGCATTGGTGGAAATGAAGTAGAGGACACAGAAACAAGCCCAGGGCGATTCTCCTGTCACTCTGGGATGCAGAACAGGAAACAAGGCCCTTCCTCGGACAGCAGCCCTCCACGGTGGTCTTCAAAACAGTTCCCCATTGCTTCCCGCCCCTGATGGAAACACCTTTTGTTTCGAACGAGGTGACCATCTGCTCCCGGGAAGTCCTGCTCTCCTGCTGTAATTGTGACTGGCATGCCATCTAGTCCTCAGAAGTGTCTGACTGGACGATTCGCTCTGTGGACTCCCTACTGACACCTCAAAGCGTGCAGGTGGTAAGTAACTCACAGAAAGGGAGGTGACAGCCTCCCTTTGCTGCAGAGCTTGACACAGGGCAAGTCAGGATACTGACTGGAGAGGAGCATCTGAAGGCCTCAGACACTGTGAATGTCAGCCTACTGTCTAACAGACACCGTTACGATAACGAATCAAACTAACCTGACAGCACCTGGCACGTAAGAACTGTTTGCTTCACTGGCCTCTGGTGACTGGGCTCTGGGAAGGCAAGAGTGGAGTACTGGCAAGTTCCTTCCCTGGTCGTTCACCCAACCCAGCCTGGCCAAGCACTATGCATTAGGTGGCCGACACCAGGAAGGCGGGGGTCAGAAACCTCACTGACTGGGAGCCCACCACTGAGGGGGACACATGGGGAAGTAGTGCTGATGTGAAGTGCAAAAGGGGCTCTGGGGGTTCTCAGAGGGGAATGAAGAAGAGAGGGTGTCTGGTACTAAGGACAAGGCCTGATCAGGGAGTAAGAGCGCATGGATGCAAGTCGCAACTGAAGAAAATGGACTCCTTTGTTGCTTGTTCTCTTTGCCTTTATGCTGCAGAAACACAACACTAGCTGACAATCTACAATCTGAAAAAATCAGAAGCAATATACAGTTGCCAGAGCAAAATAAGACAGGTGGTCTCCGAGACTTGCAGGGGCGGGAGGGTGGGGCCCAGGACAAGGCTGTCCAGGCCACAGTGGAGGAGGCCGCTCGGGCTGGCGTCACACTGCCCACCCCACATGTGATGAGTCAAACTGCTGCTTTGATTTGGGGCACAGAGGATTATGGTGATGGCACATGGGTGAACTGGTAGTGGGAAGTCCACGTGGATTATAACCAAGATGAGATCAGCTCCCTCATTTTGGAAGACCAAAGCCTTGTCTTTAAAAAGCCCTCACTAGGCCTCTCCCTGTGGTGCAACGGGTGAAAGTAACGCATTATGAAAGTAACGCACTATGAAAGTAACGCATTATGTAGCTCTCCAAAGTTACTGTAACACAAGTTTGATCCCCGGCCAGGGAGCTGACCCACATGGCACGGCAGACCTCTCCTGACCCACCCACTGCTCCCCTCAGAAGTGTACCTTGCCAGTCTGCGTTCTACTCCCTGCTCTGTCTCTGGTAAATCCTCTAACCTACACCTCTGGCCTATACCCCAGTTCTGTAAGCATAAATACATCTTTCTTAAAATAAATAAATATACATATAAATGAAAATAAAACCAATAAAGGAACTGCTGTCTATCCTTTAACAACAAAAAAAAAAAGCCCTCACTAAATCTGAGTGCTGTCCCTGCCTCTTAGGGGCTAGCTAGGAGTGAACCTGGAAGATCTTGAGCAGTCCTAAGACAAAGAGCAATTTGAGAGATTCTTCGTATCTTCTCTAACTCCTCATTTCTAAAGCATCTTTCAGGAAGCATTTGCTAATGCTTCTTTCAAGTGGGGCCCCACCAACTGGGATTAACTGATGGGGAAGGAGGGGGGCAGCCGTCCACACAATGTGACCCCTTCACACGGATGTGATAGGCCTGACCCAGCAGTCACCTTTCAGGCTGAGGCAGGACACTCCCCTCTAGTGGGAGGCGGGCAGTCCACAGCACGGCCTGCACTGTCACGTGGGCATCTGTCAAGACAGCTATTCCTTGAAGTAATTATGCAGCAAGGTGCCAGGTTGAAAAGAAGGAGATGCTTACGAGGAGAGATGGAATTCATTAGGATGGGATTTTTTTGTAAGGGCCCTGGTCTTTGGTGTAGTCCTCTCTGGGTGGGAGCTGCCTCTGGGAGGTTTTATACATATGCTGAACAGCTGTGTGGATGAAAGGGGACTGGCATGTGGAAGGGCAGGCACAGTGAGCCGGGAGAGGACGCTAACTGAATGAGAGCAGTAGGCCCACTTAAGGTGGACAGGCAAGTAACTACCACTTGAGCAAGGAGAAGAATGTCAGAAAACGGACAAGTAGACATCTCCAAAAATCAAGAGAAAGGCCAGTATTCAAGGCTTGTGGTGTCTACCATGTCAGAATCCCATGAGATGTTAACAGAGAGATAGCAGACAAGATAACCCAGCATTATGGATCTGAAGAGAGCCTGGCAATAACTGAAGCCAATTTTACAGATGGGGAAACTGAGGACAAAGAAGAAAGAGGACTTATCTGGGAGTCACACAGTCGAGCTATGTGATGAAGCTGATCCCAGCTCAGGTTTCCTGACTCCTTGTGGGAAAAAGATGCTACTGTTCTTGTATTACTTAGCACCCTTCCCACCAACCCCCAATATGGGCTAGAAAAATTAAGAATAGAGAACATCATGTAATGGCCTAAAGTGTTCTGCACAAAACTTGCCAGGCCCACACCTCCTAGCTCTACCTCACTCTATGTACTTGTAAAACTGAAGACTAATAAGCAGGAGCCAAGGAAATGAAATCAGAGTCCCTGAGAGCCAGCGTTTAGAATTAGAAAATTGCTCTCCATAGTCCATCAGGGAGGGATATTAAAAAAAAAAAAAAAAAGCAAGCAGGGTCCTCCCTGGTGGCGCAGTAGGTTGGAGTGATGCACTGAGAAGCTAAGCCAAGCCTTGGCTGCTTCAGTGCGAGTTTGATCCCGGCCCCAGAGGTGACCCACATGGAGCAGCAGACCTTTCCTGGCCCACTAGCTGCTCCCCTCAGCAGTGTACTTTGTCTATCTGCCTGTTCTGCTCCCCGCTTTGTCTCTGGTGAATCCTCTCACTGCCCCTGCACCTCTGGCCTATACTCCATTTCTGTAAGCAGAAATAAAAATATATATATATTTCTTTTTAAAAAGCAAACAAAGCAAATCTTTACATTCCTCTTGAAATGAGCCCTGCTTCATCCAAAGGGAGGCAGGAATCTGATTTAGCATCAGCAGCCATGGATGGATGTTTGCCTGGAGACGCAAGTTCAGAGCCCAGCATGAGCCGCAGTGACCACAGCAGACTACTGTCCACTGTCCCCAACGTCCTCGGTTCTGGCTAGACCCGTTCATTCCTGGAAATGTGTTTGCTGCCACATTCAACTAGCTGGATGAGGGGCTTCCAAACAGCCGTGCAGAGACACACATCTTCTCATGCCTGTGTTTAAATCACGAAAACAAGAGCTGGAATCTCATTGTGTGTGTCTGTCATTTTCTCAGGCAGAAGGAAGTTTGCTCCTGTGTCGGGAAAATCCCTGTGTGGCACATGGTGTCTGAGGGACACACTGTGCTGGGTGGCCTCCTCCACTTCCGGGGCTGGCTGACCAGGTCTTCTGGTGGGCGACAGGACCCAGGAGCACTTCCGGCACCCGCGCCTCATGCATCGGCAGCCAGATTGCTAAATGTTTGTTTCCATGAGGGACGATATTTGGCAAGAAAGCAGAAGGCTAACCTGGGCCTCCGGGGCCCTGGCTGAAGCCCCCAGACACAGGACTGAGACATGCTTGGCACCAAGACAAGAGACGCTCAAGTGTCAATCCTAAGTGAGCAAAGATGCCACGCACCTGGGCATTTTCTGGTCTAAGACGTATTTCCACTTGAACAATTCCAGAGGGTAGAAAAGTGTGATAATGTCTTCACAAGGAACAAGCCCAATCACCTCGTCCTCTCATGCTCTTTACCGGCTCATAAAAGGGTGCCGCCTGACTCTAAAAAGCTGTAAGAGATAAGATCAGACGTGCTGGTCAAAGCTGCAGCTTTCAAGACATTTGAGACCCAGTACTCCTGTCAGCCCCAAGGGCCTTGACCAATCCGGTGATGAGCCAGGCCACGGTTCCCGGGATCCGACAGGCTCCCAGCAGTCTGCGGGACAGAGGGTGACTCTGCTCCACAACAGCACTACAGAAGGCAACTGTGGCCACCTGAGAACCAGCTGGGAGGTTCCCAAGTCAACATTCCCCAGTGGAAATAGGTATGGGCCACTCATCATCAGCCTCCAATTAAACCAGCCACAAGGCATGTCATCTGACCATGGATGGAATTACAGCCTGGACTGAGTGATTAATGATCCCGAAAACAAACAAAAAGGGAAAAAAATCCTTTACTCTGGGCTCCCTTCTATCTCCAGAAGCAACTCCTGTAGACACATCTAAAACACGCAGAGCAACATGCCTACCGTCCGGGACACGCCAGACTCTGCAGGGGCAGGTGAGCCACACAAAACCACCCTTCCTGCTGCCTTTCTGTTTCGTAAGAGCTTTCCAGACATAAATGTTTATGACCTGGCCGAGGGCTTTCATCTCAGAATGTCAGCCCGAGCTTTCTACAAATAGGCAGAGGGCTCAGGGAGAAGGGGAAATTATGACAACCCCAAGATATGCAAGGCTGAGGACCTGGAAGCAGCTGCTTGGAAAGGGCACTTGAGTCCATTGTCCACTTGGAAGTCTTGCAGCAACCTGCCACCTGCTTTGTCATCCTCTGGCACTTTTAAACTGTTGTTTGGCAGCCCCTCTGGCCTCAGGAGCCAAGCGGCAACGGACAGCGGGAGGAGACTTCCTCCGAGGGTGGGGGCTCATTCCCCAGCCACACCAGGCAGGTGTCTCCCCAGGAGAGGCTGGGCTGTGACAGAGGCTGTCACCACAGTGCACAGACCCAAGCTGTGTCCTTAAGGGGGCCCAGGGTCATCACAGCTACACGGTTATCACGTCCAC